ACCTTATTATTCTATCATATTTTAGATCTGAGTTTGTTTTACAGAATGAAATGTCTGAATGAGTGCTCATCCAAGTGTGCTGATTCCAGACTTTTTGGAAGGGCTTGTTCAAAGCTCTTAACAACCAAGCTCCATCATATATTAAACATCTTATTGTTCCATACTTTCCTAACAGAGCACTTCACTCTCAGACTGCAGGTTTACTTGTGGTTCCTGGAGTTTCTAAAAGTAGAATGGGAGGCAGAGCTTTCAGTTATCAAGCTCCTCTCTTGTGGAACCAACTTCCAGTTTCTGTCCGTGAGGCTGACACTCTATGTCTACTTTTAAGATAAGACTGAAGACTTTCCTTTTGGATAAATCCTATAGTTAGACTTAGTTATTCCTTAGTTATTATAGTTAATCAGTTCTGCTGCTACAGGCTTAGACTGCTGGAGCACAAACTGACCACATTTCCTCACTCTGCTATTATCTTTAGTCACTCTTTGCTACATGTTTGTTATAATTACTTCTATCAATAATATGTTTTATTTGTCTCTCTTCCAGAGGAAAATACACCTGGACCAGTCCTGTGTTTGTCTGCCTCTTTCCTGTCCCTAAATCCAGCCGGTCGAGGCAGATGGCCGCCTGTCCTGAGCCTGGTTCTACTGGAGGTTTCTTCCTGTTAATAGGGAGTTTTTCCTCTCCACTGCTGCAGGTGTGCTGCTCAGGATGGGAGACTGATGAAGCAATGATTGGACGCAGTCTGCTGGCGTCTTTAGATTTATTGTTTTGTTTTGTTTGTTTTCTTGTGTGTGTACAGTGCCCTGAGACAACAGTTGTTGTGACTTGACACTATATAAAAAAATGAATTGAATTGAATTAAATTAATTGAGTAAATGTGATCTTTGACCACTCAAGCAGTACTAAATGTATTACAAAGACTGGACAGAAACAAGGCTTGGTAGTTTTTAGTTAAACTCGTTGCACAAATGTGTCAGTTAGTATGTATTTTCTTGCAGCAACTGTGGAAAACAAATTATGAAGCACAGCAGGTCTATCAGTAGGTGTAGAGTAGCTGCTTCAAATTTTAAATCTCTATGTCCTCATGTATGTACTTTGTGTGAACTACATCAGGTATTTCTATTATAGAATTAAGTTTAGTGCTTGTTAATGTGCAAATAAGATGTGCCATGCTGACATCTCATTGTTGGTATGTTAATTATCATGTTACTGCAGGTGCGCTTTGTTGACTTTGGTGCTTATTTACTGTAGTTCACTTTAAATATTAAAGTCATAATGTGAGTGATTGAGTTTATTTGTAACAAAATCACAGAAATGTTTTATAATGAATAATGTAGCGTTAACTGTGCGTGTGTAATTATGATAGCTTTAGATGGTTCTTAAGGGCAATTTCCTGTGATTTTGTCAATCATATACAGCGGGTAAAATAAGTATTGAACACGTCACCATTTTCTCAGTAAATATATTACTAGAGGTGCTAATGACATGAAATTTTCACCAGATGTCGGTAACAACCCAAGTGATCCATACATACAAAGAAATCAAACCATAAATGTCCAGAAATGAAGTTGTTTGTAATAATGTGGAATGGCACAGGGAAAAAGTATTGAACACACTTACCTGAAATTTATCTAATACTTTGTACAAAAGCCTTTGTTGTCAATGACAGCTTCAAGACGCCTCCTGTATGGAGAAACTAGTGGCATGCATTGCTCAGGTGTGATTTTGGCCCATTCTTCCACACAAACAGTCTTCAAATCTTGAAGGTTTTGTGGACCTCTTCAATGAACTCTGATCTTTAGTTCTTTCCATAGATTTTCTGTTGGATTCAGGTCAGCTGATTGGCTGGGCCATTCCAGCAGCTTTAGTTTCTTTCTCTGAAACCAACTGAGAGTTTCCTTGACTTTGTGTTTGGGCTCATTGTCTTGCTGAAATGTCCAGCCACGTTTCATCTTCATCATCCTGGTAGATGGAAGCAGATTTTTATCAAGAATGTCTCTGTACATTTTTCCACTCATCCTTCCTTCAATTATTTGAAGTTTGCCAGTACCATATGCTGAAAAACAGCCCCACACCATGATGTTCCCACCTCCAAACTTCACTGTTGGTATGGTGTTTTTGAGCTGATGTGCAGTGCCATTTGACCTCAAAACATGATGTGTATTCTGGCATCCAAACAGTTCAATGTTGGTCTCATCTGACCAGACTATATTCTCCCAGTATTACACAGGCTTGTTTAAATGTTGTGCAGCAAACTTTAAAGGAGCTTCAACATGCTGTTTCTTCAGCAGTGGAGTCTTGCGTGGTGAGCGTACATACAGGCCATGGTGGTTCAGTGCATTACTTGTTGTTTTCTTTGAAACAATCGTACCTGCTAATTCCAGGTCTTTCTGAAGCTCTCCACAAGTGGTCCTTGGCTCTTGGACAACTCTTCTGATAATTCTTTTCACTCCTCTGTCAGAAATCTTGTGAGGAGCACCTGGTCGTGGTCGGTTTATGGTGAAATAATGTTCTTTCCACTTCTGAATTATGGCCCCAACAGTGCTCACTGGAACCTTCAGAAGTTTAGACATTCTTCTGTAACCGATGCCATCATTATGCTTTGCAACAATAAGGTTGTGAAGGTCKTGAGAGAGCTCTTTACTTTTATCCATCATCAGATGGTTCTTGTGTGATACCTGGCCATCATTTGGGACTGAATCAGCTGATATTAACTTGCACTGACATGGGGCAGGCTTGCTTTCTAATTACTGAGAGAGTTCAGCTGGTGTCTTGGCTTTCCATGCCTTTTTACACCTCCCTTTCTTCATGTGTTCAATCCTTTTTCCCTGTGCCATTCCACATTATTACAAATAACTTCATTTCTGGACATTTATGGTTTGATTTCTTTGTATGTATGGATCACTTGGGTTGTTACCGACATCTGGTGAAAATTTCATGTCATTAGCACCTCTAGTAATATATTTACTGAGAAAATGGTGACGTGTTCAATACTTATTTTACCCGCTGTATTTTAAATTCTATTTATTTCAGCAGAGATATGTTTTATGGTTTTTGTGGTGGGTGTTGTCTCAGAGAAAAGTCATTCTACTGATATTGTTGATCTTGTTTCTATGTATTACCTTTTTTATTTGGAATTCCACATTTACAAATGAAACTTTGGCTCCAATGAAAAATAGTTTGTTTGGATTTGTTAAAGAAAAATAAACGTGTTAATATTGTAAAATATACACCTGGCCAAAAAAAATCACAAATTCTAATATTTCATTGGTTTGCCTTTATCTTTGATTATGGCACGTTTTGTTTCTGCTTCAGCTTCTGCTATGTCACATTTGTTCTTGTGCAGAGTTGCACTAATTATTTTGCCAAGATGTTGTATTGATGATGTGAGATTTGAACAACTGAGCAAAGTATTCTCCAAGAATATCTCAACGATTAGTGGGGTTCAGGTCTGGAGTCTGTGGGGGTCAAATCCTGTGTATAAATGGTGTCTCATACTCCATGAACTAATGGTTCTCAGTTAGAGCCTGATGAATCCTGGCATTGTCATCGTGAAACATGAACATGAACTGTACCATTAGGGGAAGAAAAAAAATCAGTGATGGAATAACTTGGCAATTCAGTAAATTCAGGTAGTCAGCTGACTTCATTCATGGCCACATAACATTGCTGAACTGCAACACCCCCAGATCAAAGCCGTGGAGTTTATTCAGGCTGATTTAAGGACAGTTCTTCCCAGATTTGAGCAGCTTATTAAACGTGGGGAGTAAACACCCTGGACATAGTCAACCAAAAAGACTGAGAAAATATGTCCAGAGGGTGCATCACGCCAGCTGAAGGACTGTTTTGAAAACACAGACTGGTGCGTGTTGAACTTCAGAACCTGGACAAGTACACCACATCATTGCTCTCTTGTACCAAATAGCCTACCATCATTTCAGCTGCCCCTCTTCTTACCCTGATGTGCTCATCACTCTGGAACAGTGTCAGTCTAGACTCATTGATCACATAACCTTCTTCATTGCTCCAAAGTACAATCTTTATGCTCCCTCGTTTCACTGATAAGTGGTTTCTTATGAATACACAGCTGTTTAGTCCCAATCCCTTGAGTTCCCATCACATTGTGCATGTGATCATGCTCTTACTTTCACTATTAGCCACGATTTTTTGAGGGAATTACATGCCGTCCTCAAAGATGATATTTCCCCATTATCTTTCTAGTTTTAAACTCAATTTTAGTAGTTTCACAAATCTATAATTTTTATCAAGTGGGAGGCTCTTGCTTAGTTCAATCTAGGTGATAACTAGTGTGATCACGGTTCTATTAATGGTTTCCACGGACTATAAACCATCTGTATCATAACATCGACATGATGTGATGTCCAGATTAACTAGTGGGTGCGAAGCAATATAAAATAATATATACATTATTGTGTTGGTGTTTCCTTACAGAGTGTCACTTTGAGCTGAAGCCCTGATGTCTTTGATAGAGGACAGTTCTTTTTCTGAATTGGACAGCTTGCTCTCCAAACCTATATACATGTAAACAAAGAACAGTATCATTTAAAAACATCCTGATCCTTCAAATTGTTTCATTTTCCAGTCACATGCTGCAGGGCAAATCACAGAACAGGAGCAAAGCAGAAAAAAACAATAGAGCTAAGACTCAGGACATTAATAAGAGCAGAATTAATACTTTTCTGATGATCTGTTTCAAGAGGGAAAACCTTTTTCTTTTCTTTTTTTTTACTAACTAAGGACAAAAAAACTTACAGTTTCCAGTAGCCATTTCCTGAGGTTTCTTATTATGGTCATCCTGTCCATCTTCCTCTGACACAACTTCAGCCTTTAAAGTCTTGTTCACTTGTTTATGTTGCCACACTGAAGGAGAAATCTTGAACAGGAATTCCTTGTATATCTTGTAGTCAGTCAGGAGTTCTTCAAACTTGGAAATTTCACTTTCAGAAATACAAAGGAACAGCAGGCCCTTTATTGTTGTTTCTCAAGTGCACTTCTCTGTAAAACACTTTTGTGCACTGAGCCATCAATGTTGACATAACATACACAATTATCAGAATCCTACCTTTTTACGGCCCTTGTTTCAGCAACTAGCTTCTCAATTTCAATGTTCTTTTCTTGCTTTGACTTGTCCTCTCGTTCAAAACTAACAGGACACAAATGTTTTCATGTTAGAGCAGAACAGATCCAGGAGTCGTAAAGTAAACACTTTATTTAAAAACATCAATTCCATCCACTGTGATACTGAAGTTAAACCATGAAGGGAAATTTCCATGTTAGTCAAATATGCTGGGCTGAGGGTCAGTTTTAGTTATTATCAATGAGGTTTTCTCTGAACCTAGCTAATTCACAACAGTAACAGAGGCTGAACTCATCGCCTATTCCAGAGCAGGAGCATTTATCATTTAAACCAGAAATTAGGATGAAAAATGTGTTTTATGTATTTTTATACAATGTATGTAACATCTGGTTATGACTATAAATGTGTTATAAGGGTGTGTGAAATGCCTTATTTTATGCATACACTCAAACATTAAAGCAAAAAACCCAAGTTAACAAAGTGACATTAGAACCAATGCTGTAGAACCTTTTATTTCTTAGTAGATTTTAAAGGGATCCCTGATTAGTTGTAACATTAGACTTCATTTGATAAACATATATTTTAGCTATAAAATAAAGGATGTAAAAATACTGTAGGCTGTTTAGTTTTTAACATTTTTAAAAATAAATTTTARYACGGACGGAGCCATTTTATTTACAAGCAAAGCATTCTGGGTAAATGATGACGTGGATAGGTCCTCGGTGCGAGGCTGCTAGCGAGCTATATCCACCCTGAAGGTTAATCTTGGACAATATCTGATGATCGACTCTTTTAAATGAAACCAGAGAGCGTTGACAGAGAGGAGAAGGTAGAAATGACTCAGCCTGGAACTGAAAATATGGATGGAGGACAACAGAGCTGTTTCATGGAAGAAGAACCTCAGCTTAGCCTGTTAGTCTTTGCGCTAGCACCGACGCTATATTGCCTTATATGTATTAGCTCAGCGCTAGCGCGAGAAACAAACAAGCTAAACTGAGGTCCTCCATCCATATTTTCAGTTACAGGCTGAGTCATTTCTACCTTCAACGCTCTCTGGTTTCATTTAAAAGAGTCGATCATCAGATATTGTCCAAGATTTACCTTCAGGGTGGATATAGCTCGCTAGCAGCCTCGCACCGAGGACCTATCCACGTCATTATTTACCCAGAATGCTTTGTGTGTAAATAAAATGGCCCCCTCCATGCAATATATTTTTAAACTTTTAGTTTAAAAATGATAAAAACTGAACATCCTACAGTATTTTTACACTTTATTTTACAGTTAAAATAAATGTTTATTAAATAAAGTCTAATGTTACAACTAATCGTGGATCCCTTTAAGTCTTGTCAAGTTGAGCAACAGAAAGAAAGCCCACTTGCTGAACTTGCTTCATAATGACATTTTTTACACCCTCTTCCATTAGATCCAGGTTCTACTTACAGAGTTCTGGATTCCACAGCCTTCTTCTCGTGATCTTTGAGAAACTCTTCAAACTTCTGGTTGTCTCTCTCAATGGCATTTGCAAGTTGCTCCAGTTTTCTTTCCTCTTTTGCAATGATCTCGTCCATCTTCATCATCTCAGATTTCTTTGTCATCCAAGATAACTAAGGGTGGGAAGATGAGGTTAAACAGAAAAATGCAAATAACTGACTAGAAGTCAATAAAAAAAGAAAATAAATTCACTGTGGTTGATACAACTACCTTCAAAATCAACTTCTTTAAAAAAGGTTATTATGAAGATCTTGCACTGATTTCTTCAGCATCTACTTCTACATCTTCTGCCGTTTATCTATAGTCAGGTTGCAGAGGCAAAAAGTTTAGGAGAGAAACCCAGACATCCCTCTCCACAGTGACACTTTTCAGCTTGTCCTGGGAGACCCTGATGTGTTCGCAGGCCAGAGAAGATACATAATCTCTCTAGTAAGTCCTGGGTCTTCTCCAGGGCCTACTACCTCAACTGACTTCTTTCGATGTGAAATAGAAGCAACTCTATTCTATTTTAGGAGTCCTCTGGGAAAGCCAAGTCCTGAAAGTCTTCTTCTTCAGCTTAATGGCCTCTATTCACAGCTGGTGTTAACGTGTGAAAGCTTATTAAACATTCACACTATAGTGCTCATGTTTCTCTTTATTGTGTGACTTGAAATCCATCTTTCTTGGCTTTCCAGAACACAATGGGCCTCATGCAAGAACCGTTCGTACACACAGATTTGTTCTTAAGTTGTGCGTACGAGTGATTTAGGAGAATTTGTGGCATTCACCAA